AAATTTTAAGGGGATGTTTCCTGAAAGTTCTGGCGGCCAATCTTAATTTGTTTAGCTAAAAGCATTACCGAAAAAGCCAATGCCGGTAGCGACAAAAAATACGGGGAATCATGCAAAAAACGCATCTTCGCACGGGCAGCCCGTGCGTTGGCCAATTTTTTTAAACAAACACTGCTGTTTTTTTGGCCATGCCTTTTCCCATTAGCGGATGGCAGCGCGCTTCCCTATTGTGGATGGGCCCCTTTTTTCGGAAAGCAGTAAATAGTAGAGTAGAAGGATTCGACTTAATTGTCATGTACAAAAAGACATTTTACAATGCAGCTTGTGTTTCATCCCTTAGCTGTAAACACAGACCGGACTATGCATGCGGGTAGAAGTGGGAATCGTCAGTACAGCCTCCTACCTGCCATGTATTGAAGGGACATGTAATTATTTTGCAAGACGGAGACGTAAAGGAAAAAGTGAGGAAGAGAGAGTGAGAGCGAATGGAAAAGTGCAGCAGCATGAAAGCAATAAGGGTGTGGAGGAAACTAACATATTATATGGGCAGTAATTCTATGTAGTTATGAGGAGGCAATTTTCATGAGAATAAAGTACTAAGTCTTTAATTCCTGCATCATCGGGGTAGATGAACTCTGATTTACTGTTAGTGTATCTTTCATATCGTGATGCGCAACCATTGCATTATCGGTTCGTGCTCGGGACACTGAATCATTTGAATTTACTTTACATAACGTTTAGCTGTTGCTTTCACAAGCAGTGGACGCTTCCCTATTTTTTTGGCATTTCGCTAGTGTCTTTCCATCGGCAGCTGTGTTGTTTTATGCAGAATTCTTTTTTTTTTTTATTATCTACTTTTTTTTGGTGTTTTTGATAGTGTTTTTTAGTGTCTTTTTAGAGTTTTTGGTGATAAGTTTAGCGTTCAAGTGCGATTTTGCACTTCAAACTAATTGTGGCATTTTGCCAGTTAGGTATCTCCCTGCCTTCACAAACTTTTTTTCCTTTTTAGCAAAAGAATTCCTTTGGCAAAATTTTTTGTTCACTCTGATTGCTGATTTTTGCATTGCTTTTTGACGGCCGATTTCTGCCTACTAAGCCGTAAATGCGGAAGATAAGATACATCGATGTGCCCTTTAGGGTTTATTTATGAGAAATACGAGCATTTTTAGGAGCCGAGTGGTATCTGGGTGCGTGGCGAGAGGTTGCGGGGCTGCTCGAAATCTGTTGACGAGGTATTTTCATTAAGCTTTACTTCCATTTTGTTTTTTTTTTTCGCATTTTTGAGTGACGGTTGCAAAAATAGGACACTGGAGCTGAACGCACGCTAGTATCGATGAGCAACAGGTTGTTTGAAGTTGTTATAGTGAATATTTAATTGTAGGAAATTTCCTTTTTTTAACATTTTTTCATGCAGCGCCCCCTCCTTTGTCCTGTCCATTTTTATCTGTTATTCCTTTATTCGAAAGGGGCATAGGTCCCACTGAAAACTGTTACAAAACAGAGTTTGGTTATTGGCATGCACCGCTCTGTAAATTCTTATTAAGCTTATTAGCGACGTTTCTCAGATGATGGGAACCGAAGACTTTGGCCGTTTGGTCGGTACTTGACTTGGGAAGAATGAACAATTCAGGAACGGGTATTTAGAAGTATAGGAAACTGCTTTGCTGCGCAGGAAGGACGATGCCCCGAGGGGTTTTTGTCACCCAAACAAACTGCCTGCAATAAAGCAAAATTTATGGGTTCGAAAATAAGCCGAGTCTTAAAGAATTTTTCACCTCAGCGTCTTTCGCCATACTTTCTGGTATCGTTTTCCTTCTTTTCACTCGCCCTTGAACTTTTCGACCATCGGTTAGAGCATTTTAGATTTAGCTTCCGATAAAGAGAAGGCATTGAGCTGAGTGCCTTGTCAGAGACTTTTGTAAGTGATAAAGATGTTGTCTGTTCCCTTTTTTTTCATTGTTTTTTTTTTATCTTCTGGACTGTATTTGCAGAAAAAAAGCGAAAACAAAGAAAATGAGGATATATGTGCAGCTGCAGTAACACCAGCAACAGCAGCGGCAGCAGCAGTAGACATTTCTTCAAAGAGGGATGAGGCAGTGTGTACTGAGCGGATTTCAGCCATCTCTCTGTTGAAGCTGCGCCCGTCTGTTTATGATGCCCCGTGTGTAGGACCGAAAACAAAGTATGTCTCCATACTTATGTGACGGGCAATTTTGTTCTTATAAAATTGCTGTAAGAATGGAATCTCCCAGTAAGTTAGCATTAAGCCATTGTATTTGTCGCTAATTTTTTAGGTGGATATGAATGATTTCAGGGTACGTAAATGGCTGCAAAATATTCCGGAAGAAGTTGATACTCCACAGGTCATCCTGGAAGATGCTCAGAATGCAACAGAAGAAGCATCAGGGCAAAACTGTGGTGAAAGTGAAACGAAGCCGGATGTTTTTGATATTCTAATGAGAAGGCGTTCTTCGACTCCTGGGAAGCCATCAGCTAAGGAAGCTGTGTCTTCAGGTAAAATACATTGTTAGTGACGACAGATATTTCTCAAATCCCCCCAAAAAAACGAAGACTTGAATGAGAATGCTATTGTTACAGACGCATTATCTTTACAAAAGTGTGCGTTTATTGTTAAAGAGAAAAAATGCTCTTAAATGCGCAAGTGTTGCGGAAATTTTAAAAAATACAAACGGTGAATATTCTTGGCAAAGAGATTGAAAGAGAACGGGGCCCTGAAATTCTCTGTGTATTAACATATGCAGTTTGTTTGACACAAGTTGCACACGGAGTAGCTGGTGTTTTCTCTTGCACAGTTCTTATTGATTGAACTGAAAAATGACACATCCATTTGCTTTTTCCTGTATTTTTTGTTTATTTTTACACCTTTAGGGCAAAAGGGGGGCAGCAGGAAATGGTGTCGAAGATCAATGGTGCTGCCTAAAGCTGTTGCTGAATTACCCACTTCAAGTCGTCGCCAAACCATAGCTTTTCCGCAAGAACCGAGTGTATCAGCGACTGAGGTAAGAGGATTTTCCTCAGTGTATCTAATGTGAAAGTTTGAAAGGAATGAAGTCATCTTTTCCCATATTTTGAAGTTAACTTCAATGATTGGCTAGCGCTAGCATGGCCAAAAACTTTCGAAAGAGGCA